TAACTGCGGTTGAATGTGGCCTCAGTTGACTTTAATGGTGACCTTTTGTTGGGCTCCATTATGAATAACAAGTTTTAGGGTCTTTCCCTTTTGAGTCAACAAATGTTGGCTGAAGATGTTTTTGTGTAAGGACCTTACAAGGTAGGCAAGGGAGATAGAGCACACCTAACTGAAAAGTTAACTCCCCAGAAGCGGTCAGAAGCAGTGAAGGAATGCTTGTGGCCTGTGCAGCAGTGTAACTATGTCCTGCTTTGGCTGCAAGCGGAAGAGAGAGGAGGGCCCTCCCAGAGCAGGTGGACTGTGTCAGCAAAGGTGTAACTGGAAAGTCTGGAAAGTACTAGGAAAGTGATGGTGGGGGCGGGGTGGGGTGGGGGGACTACACCTGGGGATAGCCTGAGGGCTTGGGAAAGGACAGGTAAAGGGGTGGAGGTGGGACTGGCATACGCCCCGTTTACAGATCACTTATCTCAATGCCAAGGACACTTTTAGACAGCGATGAAAGGAAAACTTTGAATACTCAGGAGCTTAATTTGGGTCATCTCTGTCTTCCCTTAGCTGTTCTATGACCCCGTGTCATCCTCCTCAGGTTTCATTTTCCTGTCTGTAAAAAGGAAATAATTCTTGTTCCCTTGGGTTTTCGTCTAATCATCAAAAATGGATGAGTTGGGCCACAGTACCCGGACAAAAGGAAAAGCTGGCATATTTTTTAAGATAAATTCACACAAGTTATTAAATAACTGAGCATCTTCATAATAAACAAGCACTGCAGAAAACTTTCCAAGGCACATTTAATCCCATTAAGGCCTACAGCTCTTCCGATCCTCAAATACCCTCTTTTTCCCTCCAAATGGCAGGAACTTGAAAACAAGAAAGTGGAACGTAGCTAGCTGTTCAGTGAACTTTGGCCAAGACAATTCAATGTATGGATTACACAGAATTTTAATGAACTCATTTCACAGGTCGTTTTCAACGCTACATGAAGTTAAAAAGGACAAAGGACGAAAGTCGCATGGGCCAGTTTTCCGCGTTCTTTCCAAAAGGGGAGAGGGGGAAAAAAAGCGGGGGG